TTTTCATGTGTCTATTGGTCTTTTTTACTTCTGAGAAGATTCTCTTTAGCTCATGTGATGGTATTGATTTGAGGCATCCTATTATTTGAGATATTCTGAGCTTTGGAATTTCTAGTTTATGCCTTTGGCACAATTTATGAAGTTTTATTTCTGCAAGTGTGTATTTGTGTGTGTGATATGCTTTATATTTTTATAGTCTTCCGACCTTGGATATATAAATCTATTTTATGTGATACTGAATAAATTTGGCACACTATTTCAAGAATTATTTTACTCCATTTTTCTTTCCTTTTTTGGAAATAGTATTTACATTAATTGTCAATATCTACTCTTCAAATTTTATAACTAAAATAATTACAAGTACAAATTTTATAAGTTAAATAATTGCATTTTGATTCTAAAATTTTTATTTGTTTCCTATGGCTTTCATTTCTCCACTGAGATTTTCCTCTATTTGTTTATAGTGACAATATTTTCCTTCAAACCATTGAACATATTTATAATAGTTATTTTAAAATTTGTTTCCTGACAGTCCCTACATCTGGACTATGTTAGTTTTGTTATCACTGTGACTAAATACCTGATGTAAGCAACTTAAAGAAGTGAAGATTTAAAGTGGGTTCTAGTAACTCATGCCTGTAATCCTAGCTATTCAGGAGGCTGAGATCTGAGAATCGAAGTTTGAAGCCAGCCAGAGCAGTAAAGACCCTGAAACTTTTTATCTCCAGTTAACTACCAAAAAGCCAGAAATGGAGGTTTATTTTAAATAGTGTGTGGAGGAAGCGCCTCACCATATGATGGATACACCAGCTAGGCAGCAAGCATTCATCAACTGGGCCTGTGAAGAAATTTTTCATGTTCAAGACATATTATGGAACATCTCAGAGTCCATTTCTATTGTCTGCTTTTTCTTGAGTATGGGTTATTTTTAATTTTTTACTTGCCTATTAATGTTCTATTGTTAATAATACATGATAAGGAGTCTACATTATGTTTTGTTTGTTAGTTAGGTGTTGTTTGATGCCAAGGATTAAACTCTAGGTCTCAGGCATATTAGATAAGTGTTCTACCACTAAGCTATAACCAGCCCAGTATGTTGTCTTATTGGTTGTTTTGTTTTAGCTATCCCTCTGATTCTGTCTGGTTTGTTTCTGTTCTTTGTTAGAATTTATAATATAAAGAAACAGGATTTTTAATTTTGTCCTAAGGCATATTTTTTATACTAAGGCATGATTGTTACTTTTAAGAGTTGGCCTTTCTACCACCTCACCTGAAGATCTAAAGTGCTCAGTGAGGTTTCTCTACCTTGTTGAGCTAAATTTCAGTGTTCACAACTGCATGACATACAGAAAGCGATCTCTTCTAGGCCTTCTTCCAGTCTTGTGTAATATTCAACCCAGCTTCTTGTCCAAAGACTCATCGCCTTCAGGTAGGCTTATGAGAACATTCACAGTTAACTATTTTCAGGACTACTACCTTGCCAATTTCAAGAGTCCCAAACTCTTTTCTATTTTTTTCTATTTTTCTTTTCTACTAAACTTTAACTATGGCGATTACAACTCTTAAGCCTAACATAAAAAGGACATTTCTCATTTCTCTGGTGGAGCTCACCTGATGTGTTTTCCTTCTCTCCAAGATCATAGCTGTATGTTGCCTACTTTCCAATACTTGAAAAGATATGCCTTGTGGTTTTGTCCAATGTCATGGGTTTTTTTTGTAAAAAAAAAAAAAAAAAGTCAGGTACCTGTTACTTTCTCAGGAATAGAAACAAAAGTCTTTGATGCACATTAACCTAAGTGCACAGAATAACTGATACTCAAACTTTTCTTTTGGTCAGTGAGTGGCTGACCAAATCACCACCTTAAGAAGTTAATTCAGACGGAGAGACAAATGACTATGTGGTTGAAGAAGTAACTCCATTTTTAAAGGGTGGAGATGGTTTAGTAGTAAATTGGTTCTTTTCTCTGCCCTGGGAGATTAGACAAACAATGGATCTAACTAAGAAAATAGACTGACTCATTTGGCTACAATATTATACTGGAGTTACAAGCAAACCAATATTAATCTCCAAAAAGAGACTTGACTTTTGAGTACTGTATATGAACTTTACAGTCATTTCTGAGATTTGTCACTGAAGGAATAAACACTCCAATATTAAATTAATAGATCTAAAGGCGCTTTTCCTTCCCTGACATCTGCTACAGCTAGTCCATAGTCATGTGCAATTACTTCATTATCTTCATTAAGATGTAAGTTATGCTAAAAGATTTTTTTGCCCTGTAAACCTTCATGTCTACTTTTCTCAAGCATTTCTTAAAATCCTTTCCTACTTAACACCTCATCTTACAAGTGAAGACTACATAAGAGAATTCGGTGCAGATGAGAAGGGACTAAAGACCTCCTGGGTAGTAGGAGACTATGGAGCTCAGTAATGGTCACAAGTGAATAAGGGTGGAGTAGGGAGGGAAATGGAATCTCAGATCTGGAAGAGACAAGTCATTTGGTCCAGACTGCCTCTAGACAGGTCAGCAGGGGTGTTTGGGTGGACCTTTTCTCACATCTGGATTTAGCCTCTTTTGAACTTTCTCAGCCTCTGCCTTTCAGCAAAGCTGATTTCTGTTCTGCAAGGCATGTGGGCTTCCTCGTGTTCTTCAGAATGAAGTTCTCAGGGGCAGATTTAATTAGCTTTGAGGATGGTCCATTCTTTTTCCAGGAGTTCTGTTTTAGGTTTAGGTCATTCTACTGGCCTCGCTATCAACTGAAGGGCAGGTCTCCTGGCCACTCAACAATTCCCAGGTCAGACAGGAAGGGTTTCTAAGCTGATGGTTACAATCCATACACTTCTAATACCCCTGTGTTGTAAGGACACGGTGCTGACATGGGCGGGACTTTGTATTGGGGATTTTAGAATCCTCCAAGTTATCATTCTCCATAAAGGAATCATACAAATGCCTACTTTCCCTAGGTATTCATCCACACCCCTATTCATTTACCATTAAATAAGAAACTTTGGCATGGAAGATATGATTTCTCCAGGTCAGCCATCTCTCTCTCTCTTTCTGTCCCAAGGGGCTGGCCTTACTTCAAAACAAACAAACAAACAAAAACTGTGAGCCAAGCCAGAGGAGGTATAGGTTACCCCATTCTTCAGCTTCATCCAAGAAGGACCCTTTGGGCCCACACACAAGAGGTGCATTGGGCAGCTCTGTTCTTGGCTATTGCGCCCCTCCTCAACCAGCGTGCACCGGTACAAGGAGCAGAATTGCATTCCCCCCTCTCTCCTCCCCTCCTCTTCCCTCCCCTCCTCTCCTCTCCCCTGGCTCATCACTGACACCAAGCAAGCCGAACTTCCCCCTGGGTCGCAGCCTAGCGATACGGGGAGCAGCCCTGGCGCGGAGCCCCGCTCTTCCCGAGTCGTGGGTGGCTTGGTGCTTGTTTCCCTCCCCTCCCTTTCCGGACCCAAATGGGGATGTATCTGGGTCAGCTTGGGAGGGGCTGGACCTGCCACGGACCGGAGTGGGGGAAGGGGGTGGCGATGACAGCATCTTTCAGGTTTTTTGGCATCTCTGAGCTTCGCTTCGTCCAGCCTTTCACCGAGCTGGAGCTGACGTTCTGGCGGGTCCCAGCCCCAAGAGGTGGGCGGGGTGGGGGTGAGGGGAGCGATCCTTCCTATGTGGACGCGCCACTGGTGCACACGCGCGCGCGCGCACACACACACACACACTCGCGCGCGCGCGCGTTCCCCCAGAGCATGCTCCGGGGTTGGTGGTGGGTCCCCGCCCCGGGAAAAGAGCAATGGAACAGTTCACGGTCGCCTTGAGTTCCTGGTCTTCCTTCCTTTCCGGTGATAAACGGCGGGGCTGCAGGCCAGTCGCTGCTCAAGATGCTCCACCCGCGCGGCCGGCCCAAGCTCCTATCTCGGCTCTGCACGTCCCAGGTCCAGGATTAAGGGTCCCTTTACCTTCGCCCGGAGCGCAGCACAGGCTAACCACCCAGGCAGTGGGAGGTGCACCCCGAGCTGGGCTCAGACCCCGGGCGGGTGCCTGGGCTGCCTGGGATCCACCCTGGCTCCGCCAGCACTTGGGGAAGATCTGGCTGTGCGTAAACGCCGCACCTTTTTTTTGGGGGGGGGGGGGGGGTGGGCGGGAGGGGGTGAGGATCTGGATCTGGTGGCGAAGCGTGAGTGAGATCCCAAGGGTCAGGCACCCTCGGGCTCCGCTCTCGATACGCAGGGCTCAGGGGATCAAGGCCATAGATCTACATTTCCCTGAGGCCTAGCCCCTCCCTTCCTCAACCTCGGCGCCCCCCAAAGATAACGGGCAGCTCCAAATGTACAAGTGCTCGCTCTCCCTCTCCTCTCCTCCCGGGGACAGAGGGAAGCAAGGACTTGAAATTCCTCCCCGCTCCGTGCATCGTGTGCACGGACCTTTGGCACGGCGGGGGACCTGGGCGCGCGTTCCTATGGCTCCGGTTCCCCGGTGATGCTCGTTGGCGGGGGAAGGGGGTGGGGGGCAGATCCCCGAAAGGTGCCCGCAAAGGTGTTCCTCCTGCCCTGCGCCACCTCACCCGCAACCATCTCGTGTCATCGTTTCGTCCACCACTCCCTGTAAAAAAGAACAATCAAACCCCCGCGCCGCCTCCCCACGCGGCACGGCGCCCCCACCCCGCTGAGCCCAGAGTGTGTGTGTGTGTGTGTGTGTGTGTGTGTGTGTGTGTGTGTGTGTGTGTGTGTGTGTGTGGCGGGGGGCACATCAGGAAGGGCCCGGGCGTGCGCGGGAGGCGCGCGGGGCTCTGGGGGGCTTTCCTGTGCCCCCAGCGCCTGGGGAATTGGGCGTTGGGCGAGGCGGCCCCCGCTGCCTTTATCGCTCGTCCCCGCTCGCTCGCTCGCTCGCTCGCTCTTCTGAAACTTTATCAGCGAGTCTCGCCACTCGCTGCCGACGCGAGAGGGGGGCGGGGGCGCGGCGAGGCGCCGGCAGCCGTGACGAGGCGCTCGCCGCGCTGAGCGCTTCTGCTCGGGACACGCATGGCGCCCGCACACGGAGTCTGACCTGATGCGGACGCAAGGGGGTTACTATGAACGTCCCTCCCGGTGGAATCTGGCTCTGGCTCCCTCTGCTCTTGACCTGGCTAGCCCCGGAGGTGGGCTCTTCATGGTGGTAAGTCCACGCACAGGGGCGCGTGCGGGCTGGAGGGGGCAAGGACAACGCGGGCGGTGGGTTTGGGGGAGACGTGGGGTTTGTGAACCCCCCATCTCCAATTTTATTTCACATTCCGAGCTGAGTCCCTTGGCTTTTCTCAAAACCCATTCCAGCTTTGACAACTAAACACACACACACACACACACACACACAATCTAAAACAACAACAAAAATCTACTCACATGCTCACATTCACAGCCACTCTCAAGTCAGAGCTCTGACGGTTGGGGTTTTTTTTTTTTTTGGAGCCCATTTGAGCGATGGCAAAATAATAATAATAATAAGCTGATTTCTTATTCCATGGAGAGATTTCCTAGCATGTCCTCTGGTTGTAGCAGAGACGTGTGTGTAAATCCACCTTGAAAACTACAACCAACTCCCCCACCCTTGTGCCCTCAAAAAACTGTCTGGAGATAAACGAATTCAGGCAGTCAGGAATTGTACAGCCTAAAGCGTGTGATTTTTGTATTATTTCTCGTCTTTCCACATTCCTAATGCTTCACCCCCAGTGAGGCAGAAGAACATGTCGCTGCCTCCAGGTAGAGACTAGAGCCTTGATGTGAAGCCACTGACACTAAAGAGTCCAAGTCACTACCCTGCTCAAAACCATCTCCCCCCAAAAAGTAAGCTTTGCTGCTGTCCTTTGTAGGTTGACTTGTAGTTTATTTATTTTGCATAGTGATGAAGCCTTAGCATCCTTAAAAGATCCAAAGGCAGATTCTACCTATCCAGACATTCTTTCTCATCTCACAACTTTCTGACCTTGAAAAGAGACCGGATAGAAAGACTTGTAGGTTCCTTGTACCTGGAAGTTTCAGAGCAGTGCCATACTTAGAAAAGATTGGCTTTGGTGGGATTTAGATAAAAGCTTGATAGGTTGGCAGATGATTGTTTGATAGAGATAAGATAGATAGATAAGTAGATTAAAAAAAGAATCTGGCAACAATAAGGAATCTCAGACAAATGAAGCAGGGGACTTTCAAAGAGGACACCGGAGTTCAAAGGAACAAAGTGCTGTTGGGAACTAGGGTTCAGTTCCTTCCTAAGCCAGCTTTGAACAGGAAGGCGTTTAACCTTGACATTGCTGACATCGGATCAAAGATTGATTTATCAGACTGACCATTTTTCAATAAAATGACTATTTCTGTTTCCCTGGATATATAAACATTATTTATTACTCGGGCATTTTGTTACATTGTCTCTCAGCTGCCACTTAAATATATTTTTTGGAATTCACAGCTGTAACGATTTTATGATAATATAAAATAATGAAAATACTAGAAAAAGGCATTCTCCTTGTTTGAGCATTTCAAAAGACACCTATGGCAGCTAGGGTTATATAAAAGGTACCTTTCTAAACATTTCACAACTAATAGAGAACATCTGGGTAAGGATGATGATGTAACTTTTTTTTTGTTAAAGTTTCTTTTCAAAAAGTACTTTATGGAGCTATAACACTGATTCTTCCAAACATTTAGCGTCCTTAATAACAATAGAAAGAATTTCTTCCCAAAGGTTTTCTATAAAAGCCAAACGGAGCTAGAAAATGGAAATATTTAAAGGATTCTTTAGTGTGGAAAGAACGGTGTGTCTGCGGACAGAATGTAACATCGGATACCAGCAGGTGTTGATTAGATAGATGTAGACAGTTTTCAAGACATGAGGTCAAATAAAAGGGAGTGAGCAGCCTCTAAAAGTCAGCTGCCTCCAAAGCCAAGTCCAGACACATGGTGTCACTGAGAGCTCAGGCTTCTCTGGACAAATCTTTATGCCTTCTCCCCAGCACACGCTGCAACCCCCACCCTCTCCAGTCCTGTCTGCAGAGTTTCCTCTACTGCCCTGCCAGAGCCTTGTCTGGTAGCCAGGAGACAGTCATCACTCGATTTGGAGGTGGCTTCTATTAGATAACTCATCGTGCCTCCCCTGCCTACTTCTCTGCTGAATCAAAACACAATAACCTCTACGGTTTCATTGCACCAAAATGATGAGGAATTCCTCCGTGAAGAGTGTTTTCAACTCAGGTGTCCCCCGAGATCACTGAATTCTACCTGGCTATTCGCTTCCTGCTCACCTGTGTGTTGGTTTCTCACAGGTACATGAGAGCTACCGGTGACTCCTCCAGGGTGATGTGTGACAATGTGCCAGGCCTGGTGAGCCGCCAGCGACAGCTGTGCCACCGCCATCCAGATGTGATGCGTGCCATTGGACTGGGTGTGGCCGAGTGGACAGCAGAGTGTCAGCACCAGTTCCGCCAGCATCGCTGGAACTGCAACACCCTGGACAGGGATCACAGCCTCTTCGGCAGGGTCCTGCTCCGAAGTGAGTGTCCTGCCTTCACCTAAATCCACAGGCCCCCTTCCCTGGGTGTACGGTCTTCAAAGCCCTTGTACTGTATATTGTGTTCAGCGGGTTTGCGCTGTGAGGTGGCATGTTCTCACTGCACAGATGAAGACTATAATAATCAAGGAACTTGTCTAAAGCCTTATAGAAGATGGGCATAACGTAGGGAGATGGGCCTCAGGCTGAAATCTTAGTGTTCTTTGCTCTGTCCATCATTTCAGTCCTGTTTATCCCGTTAGGTTCAGGGTTTTGTTTCTAGAAAGGAAGAAGCAGCCAAAGCAGAAAACAACCTTTTTTTGACTTATCTTTCTGGTGCTTGAACCTCACAGAAGATCAGATTACAAATCCTCAGACCACTTATCAGTCAAAGCTCATTATTATTACAAAAAAAAAAAAAAACCCTAAATATGTTATTAAGGAGCTGAATACCTTCACCTCTTATTTAGCTATCTAGCCTTGGGTCATTCTGTATCTAAACTAGACATTATTTACAATAGATTATAAATTTCAGAAGGGCAGAGATTAGTGTGTGTCTTGTGTTTTTCTTGCTTAGCATCATTTCAATTACTGTACACACTAGCAATGCCCACCTATTATTTTCCCAGCCGCATTTTACACTGTAAGATTATTCATAAAAGAGAAGATTAGAAACCTGAAATGCATATTTATTTTGCCTTAGGACACTTAAGCATAATCTAATTTTCTAATAAGCTTCTTTAAAGTTCTGCATATTCAAAGGACTTCATTAGCTCATCGGAGAAAGTTAATTGAAAGTCAGGTTGTATTTTTGAATAATCACCACCTACTAAACTGGCACTTTTAGCATGCTTCAAAAAAATAATACTGGTCCTTTGCTACAACCATTCATGTGAAAACCCCAGTAACAGGGAACTTTTCACTCATTTTTGCCCACCCCTTTCCCCCATTCCCAAGAAAATCATCCAAGCAGTTCACTTGGTAATGCTTAACAGAGGGTGTTTCTATCATGTAATCATCACAGCCCTAGGGTTTTATGAGGCCAAATGCATAACTGAATGTCTCTAACATCCCCCAAGGGTGCAGTACTCTCACTCTGAGTATCCCTAAAGTTAATTTATTGCAATATTTTGTGTTTTATTCTCCAGTTTAAGGACTATAGTCTTCTGCATTCCTTTTGGAGTTTCGATATGACATTGCAGATTTTTGAAAGGATAATAGTAAACTTCAGCCTCATGGAATTTTAAGATTTCACCTAAATAGCTCTGTGATTCAAATAAAGTGCTGAACTTCGCTTGTCAAAGAGAGTTTGCAAATATCTATCACAAGTAATCTTTGGATATGTTATTTACAGGCTCTCCACTGCTAGGCAGAACAAGATTTTTCTTCTATTTCCAAGGGTGCAAATCACTTTTCTAGTGATTTCAAATTGGATATACTTTTCACCTATGGAAAGATCACTTCTAGATACATTTAGTTGTTTCCATTTGTGGGAAGGAAAGCCATTTAGCTCACAAATCAAAGGAAGCAATTTTGATTAGTGAGCCTGAGGAGGGATTCATTAATAGAAATTTTTGTGGAGTTGCTGAGAGGAAAGGAAGAGGTTAGAACTAGAACCGGAACTGTCTTGATGTAGTCTGAAGCCTGAGGTAAATTAGAAACTACAACTTGTACTTCCTTCAGGTTTAGTTTAGGCAGATCTGAGTGCTTTGTCCAAATGCTCAGAACTATACAATTGCTTTCTATTCTTGTCAGAAAATCAATTCTTTCTCAGTCATTTATGCAAACTCCTGTGACTGTCAGCGATGATTTTTGTGTTGGTTATGGGAAGGCTGAATTTGGCCAAGAGCAGCTTATCCTGGAAATAATCATGACATTCCCATGAAAGCTATCCAAAGATTTTTACAATTAATTGCTTGGCGGGAAATTTACATAGTAGACTTGTGAAAAATTTCATTTGGAAACCCAAATAAGCTTGTAGGTGAGTAGGAAAGGCAAAGGGCAAACACTGTTGTATGAAGAACATGTTGCTGAAATATCCCATAGCCATAGAAAAATGGAGACTACGTGTTTTGCTTTAGAGAAACATTTTTAGGAATATTTGCATTTTACTCTTTCAGAGAAAACCTACAAATATTCTTTTAAAGGCTGAGTGCCAATGTCTCATACTTATAACTCTAGCTACTCAGCAGGCTGAGATCTCGGACTGCACACATATTTGTAGGGCACAAATTTTAATTCTCCACTGAACCAGCAAAAAACACAAACAGAAATGGAAGGGTGGCTCCAGCTGTGGAGTGGCAGCCTTGGGCACAAAAGCCAAGTAAGAACCTGAGGCCGTGAGTTCAATTCCCCTTGCCAGCACACACATACATGTGCACAGTGCACATGCATGCACGCACATACACACACACACAATTTTAAAAATTACATCTTTAGAATTCTAAAAAATGGCTTCTTACCCAAAAGATATCATCATTATAAATGTCAAAAAAAAGCAAAGAAAGTTTTTTTGGTTTTTTTTGTTGTTGTTGGTTGTGGGGCCTGAACTCTGGGCCTGGGCACTGTGCCTCAGCTCTTCAGCTCAAGGCAAGCACTCTACCACTGAGCTACCTTCCCAGCCCCAAGAAAGTATTTTTTTTAAGAGTTGAATAATCCATGACCTTCCAGAAACTCTACCTCCTGCAATTTTTGACTTCCCAGGCAACCATCTCCCAACACAAAACTATGTCTGTGTAGTTCATAGACTTGATTAATCTTAGTCCAAAACTGAGAGAAACATCAATAATAATGCCTCAGGAAGTGTACTTATCACCATTTAGGTTTGTATTCTGTTTCATTTTGGGATGGTCTTAGGAAGATTCAGTTTTTCTAAGAAGAGGCCCAAGATCAAAATTTGTTTTGTTACAAAGCCAACTCTTGAAATGTGCTACTATTTCACACATAGTGTTTTAGTGATTCATGTAAAACACTTAACTGGAAATATCTTTAGGCAATATCTACATAATACTAAAACATATATGGAGGTAAAATGAAAAGTCAATCAATGTGCTAAGTTTTTATCCAAATAAACAAAAATCTAGCTATTTAGTAATATATTTTAATGACAAATGACACATATTTACAGAGGTAATTTTTTTTCTTTGGAAATTATTTCTGAATTGTAGCAAATTGTGACTTTTCCCCTTTGAGCCAGCAAGTTAATGTAATGGTTTGCAAGTTACACAGAATGAATTCTGTATCTAAAAATTTATTATTATCTGATCATTGATTTACTCTCCTCCACGTCTTTTAAAGACTACTTCATCAGATTTCTTTTTCCCCTCTTAAAAACTAAACATAGTAACACGTACTTCAAGCATTTGAGAAGATTCTCCCTATGTGGCATCTCTAAATATGGGCACTAAACTCCAAATCCCAAACTAGGCATTATAAGATAAACAAGGCAGCTATAAACTTTAAGAAGGGAATAAATTTTATTTTTCTAAAGGCTGCTACCAGAAATTAAGCCACATTTGCATCTCTTGGTCATATCTGTTTACACAGCATCTCAAGTCCTATTAGAATGTCTAGAATGTTTATAACATAAACTGGGACTCTTTAAAACAACTCCCAGGACCACACATTCTTCTCAGAGGAGAGAGAGCACTGCCCTGCTACTGGTGGCAAATATTCATCTCCTTGATTTTTACTGGACTATGAGTGCATGACTAGGTTCTTTTTTTTTTCCAAATAGAGGTTTTTGAGGGAGATATTTTGTGAAGGCTGAGGTAAGTGCCATTTAATATGGTGTAGATATGTTTTCCTGATTTTTTAATAATGGGACTAGCAGAACAAATATTGTAAGGGACGTATAATAAATTGTAGCCCTGAATGACAAACGGAAACAAGCAGGGCTTCGATGTGAAAATGTGGTTCATTCTCCCAGATGTGTGGTTCAAAATGTCACACTCCTCTTGACATACTGAATCACCGAATATTTCTCTGCTTTCAGCCTTGCATTGGCATTAGGTAGTCCAGCCTTTTTTTGGGGATTATTAATATATTTGCTGCAGCAACCATTAATAAAAAGGCATGCTAATAACAATGAAATACAGCTCCACTTGAAAAACGAGGTGCACAAGGACCCTAAAGAGCCTTATATCTGTCACTATACTACAACACCGTGTTATGAGTTACTACAGATTATTAAAATAATTTAATGTAGTTATTGCACTGAAATATGTACCTTTCAGCCTGTAAGTGAAAGTAGCCTGCTCTCTAATAAAGAACAATTCTAAGAAAGCACCCCAAAGGGTTCTTGCCCAAGTCTAATTATAGGCGGTAAATTTGTTTCCTTCCAGAAAAACCAAAGAAAAGCTTTTCACTGTCTTTTACCCAATACCAGTGATTAGTGCAGGTGTTCCAGAAGAAAGTAAATTCACCCTTAATAGTTAGACATAGTATGTAACTCAAGGATATTGCATATTGCCTTCAACAATCTCTCAATTACTTGTGAAAGTTGATGCCAAGCCAAAGCTCTCCAGTGTTAATGCCACAGGCTGGATACTGCCTCAATCCTCTTCTCACCTCTGCCGCTAGATTTCTTGGAATTCAGTATTTCAGTGTTAATCAGCTGAGTGCACACGAATGCACTCAGTAATTTGTGGATGTTCGTGAGGTTTGGTTTGGATTTGTCTTTCCCTTGTTGGTCTCCAACAAACAATCTTCCCACCTCAGCCTTCTGAATAGCTTAAAACTACAAGCAACACTACTGTGCCCACCTTGAAAGAATTTTTCCCCACAAAGGAAGCTGTGCTATCACGAACACTGACCACATTTTTTGGAACAAATGACAGAATAGTAGAATCCAAACTGTATTTTGTGGGAGAAGAAACTAAGACGCCAGATACCATGCTCCCACCTCATAGGATAACCTAGGGTTCTAGGTGAGTGGACTTGTGTGAGACTCATGGGACCGAGGAGCCAGACAAGGCCATCTTTGCCTTTTTATACTCGGTATGTAAGAAGACTTGCCCAACAGATACCTAAACTGACAGAAATTGACATCAGGGGGGAAGGAATCATATTCAAGGAAAATTCTTGACTCTAGAAAAGACCCTTCCAGAATAATGTCCAATGCCTTTGTCAGAGGCAAAGTATGCCCAGAGAGAGATCAAGTATTAAAACAGTCATTGTGTAAGACTTACTCTGAATTACCCATCCCAGACCACTTTTAAGCAAAGCATTTTTGTTTCAGGTAGTCGGGAATCTGCCTTTGTTTACGCCATCTCCTCAGCTGGAGTTGTATTTGCCATCACTAGGGCCTGTAGCCAAGGAGAATTGAAATCCTGTTCCTGTGACCCAAAGAAGAAAGGAACAGCCAAGGACAGCAAGGGCACCTTCGACTGGGGTGGCTGCAGTGATAACATTGACTATGGGATCAAATTCGCCCGCGCATTTGTGGATGCCAAAGAGCGGAAGGGGAAGGATGCCAGAGCCCTGATGAATCTTCACAACAACAGAGCCGGCAGGAAGGTATGGAAATGCAACCGTGCTCATTTTGAAGACTACGTGGCCTTTGACTCATTCAGGCAGAGCTTATCTTCAGCTTTCCTAAAGTTGATAAAATACTGTGTAGTCACAACTTCCCACTGCCCCTCAGCCCAGAGCTGTTTGTTCTAAAGAATACCACCAATTGGGTTGAAAGATCCACACCCGTGCTCCACCTTCCTTCCCACAGCTGAGCTCAATGAGTCCACCCATTGCTTTTGGCTTGGTGGTGAGCAGCCAGTGGTTTATGGTCCCTTTGGATACTGTATTGTCTGGGCAGGAGATACAATCTGTGGTTTAGAGCCAGACTGTAACCCTAGCTACAAAAGAGGATGAGATCTGAGGATGGAGGTTTGAAGCCAGCCTAGGCAGGAGAGTCCATGAACTCTTATCTTCACTTAATATCATACACACACACACACACACACACACACACACACACACACACACAAATCTGTTGCTTAGGACACCAATGGTATATATTGACTACTTACATGTAGGGCACCTTGAGACATAAAGCAATTTCTCTTCAAGTTTTTCTTAAAGCCAGTCACCAGCCATGGTTTGTTGGTCTCTAGATTCCAGGATGTTTTCTTTTGGAGCCACACCAGCCCTAACCATAAAGCCTTAGCTGTGGTTTCTGATACTGTATGAGTGAGGGGACTGGGGAAGACATGGGCCTTGTTCATTTTATCTTCTTGAACCTCCATCTTCTTGAACCTCCTGAGCTGCTGACAACTGGTCAGCCAGTAGACCCTCTCAAACACCCACTTGTTACTTGAGAAAACTGAGGCCCAAAGTGCTCAAGGTGAGTTAGTAGAGCTCAGGTTTCAACTTCTAGTCCAAGTGTGCTTCTACCTGGGATTAAACCATTTGAATGCCAATGTTCCCATCTAATGACAATCCCAGCCTTTCTAGATGGAGGCCTGACCAGAATAATATGGAGAAAGAATAACAAGAGACTCTGAATGCAGCTGTGTGTGTCTTTTTGTAGAAAACATAAGCTGACAAAGCCAAAGAAATATTGGATTGGAACCCTTATAGACTAACCTAAAATATAACTAGGATTGATCTTTTATTGGCACACATAAAAATTTGCTTGCTATTCATATATAAAGAAAGATTAAGATAAAATTGAAAGTCAGAAGAGGGGTGTCTTGAATGAGAAAAAGAATAGAAAAAAATGCAAATCTGTTTTGATGCAATCCTCTGACTAGGCTCCTGGAGAGACCAAATCTCATTGAAAGGAAACTGGGAGAAAGCAAGGCTTGCATAGCACATGCAGTAAGATGAGTGTGACCTGAACTGTTTACAAATAGTACCTTTTCTGAACTTTAAAAACCAACATTCCTTCTTTTTATGTAAATTTATTAACTTATAATGACTATTGCCAAGAATATAGACTGTGGTTGTGCAATCTGACAACTGTTGGTAACTGTTGTTTGTGTAGTGAGTTAGATAAAAGAATTTTACATTGACCTTTGTTTTGACCTTGATAGCACACATATAAGTTATAAAGTGTGGTGTCTTTGATAGGAGTGTGCTGCTTAATTACTTAGACAGGATATAGAGTTAGATGAAAGCATATGATCTTACACAGCATCCAAAAGAATGTTGACTTATCGAAATACATGTTAATTTAGCAAAATAGATCATTTGGTATTGGATTTTTCAACTCTTCAAGACAATAGATCCTAGCTATTATATCCTAGGCCCTGTATAAACACAACTTCGAATGTAAATCATGTGATAGTTCACTGTGTCGAGGTGAACAGCTGTCAGGCCTCAGATATCCTCCTGCCTACTCTGCAAAACTTAGGAGGCTACTTTTGATTGGAATAAAAGTGCACACACTGACTTTTTAAAATGTGGCTTTAATTAATGGTGGGTGGGCAGACTTTTTCAAGGAGATGCATGATGTCAGTGAATATGAACTTTAATGAGAGTAAATGTATTGAGATAAACATGCGTCTCTAATTCTCTCCTTGCGGTCATTAGATTTCCAGTCCTTACTCCCCTTTGTACCAGCAGCAGAAGGCCAGTGGAATAAAAATGAGAACAGGCTGGGCCTGTGTTTGAAGGCAAGTCTCTTGAGCTAAGCCTTGCACTGGCCTGGCTCTAGAACACCTCAGCTTCCCAGGGCTGACTGCAACATCAGTCTACTTTTTTCTTCTTTGTACTTTTTATAGTGTTTTCCAGTGTTGAATTTGACTATCTTCTACTTTGGAAACTGGGAAGAGTCATGGTGAGATGGGGAGGGGAAACAGATCCATTTTACTTAAAAGCAAAGCCATCGTTCCCAAGGTTGTTTTGTATACTCAAAGCTAAAAGTCAGAATTCAACACTGTCATTCTACTGAGTCTTAATTTTCCCTCAATATTTGAACTGTTTAATTCATGTCTTATAGCAGCTGGTTAGAGCACCCTCATGTGTCTCTATACTGTAATATCATTTAAATACTCTGTGATTTCATTTCTTTTCATCACAGTTTCAGTAGTCTTAATAACAATATAATGCATAACACTGTAACAAAGATGAATCACTCTTGGACTGAGTCTAAACGAAAAAAGATAAGTTTACCTAGTTTAAGAATATTCTTTTAAGGAGGAAATTCCACAACTTACCCCAGTTACTCACTTTAGATCTGAAAAAGCCCGGCTATGAAAACTTGGTAATTATATTAAGATAGGTTTAGGTAAATTACAAGTGAAAGGTACCTGGTTAGTATCTACTATCTGTTCCTTTTCACAAGCCAGTAAATTTATTCACTCTTTCCTATAAGAAGAAATTATCACAACTACAAAGTTTCCTGAGAGAATGGGCATCAGAGTGACTCTTGTAGCCAAACTCTACCCCTCCAATCACTCTGCAAGTTTCCATAGGAGTAAACATTTTCCTAAAAGTAAGAGAATTCTAGAAAAATACTTTCTTCTCTTGTCTGTAGAACAGAAAGAACATGGCATGTGAGATTGCCTTAGTGTTAATCTGACACCACCAATGAATTTGCTTACTGTTTTTGTTTTGTAGTTTGTTTGTTTTTTAAAAAGGTAGTATGTAGTACGATGGGAAAACAAGAGTGAAGCAAATAGCTCAGAGCCCAGAACTCTGCATGTCATAAGTACTCAGTAAACGCCAGGTCCTCTCCCACCAGTGAAGTAAAGGTTATTTGTTACTCAGGTGAGAGAAGTACAAACCAGTGTTGACTGTCATTGGATTCAACTTGATGCTCCATTATCCACAGACCTAGCTTCTATGCGGCCTAACAAAGAAATAAAAACTGGTAGATACTGTCATCTGACTTATAAAGTACTACCAACTGTTTCTACAATAGCACTGTTCCTAAACCTATAGGAATAAAACTATGATTAATATTTCTAATGAAGCTAGGCCAGGAGGTATAAAATAATTCCCTTAGGGTCAGGGATGGAATCATGACACACACAGCACATGGAGGTTCAAACCCAGTCATGTTTGTCTGTAGGCATGCATTTCTATATCCCTGTTGTCTTGGCTTTGGAATGTCTAAGAAAAACAAGCAGTATTTCTATATTATTTTTCCTAAGAAATAATAATAAGCAATAGTTATTGCTGACTGTGAAAGGAGTTCTACTGCTAGAACTTTATCTATACCTTACAAATTTTCTACAGTGAACACACAACAGGAAAAAAAACAACAACTTGATTTACATGTTGTTAACCAGACTCCACCTTGTGAATACACTTTACAAACTTGACCTTACTATGATTGCCCATCTCTTCTCCCTCCCTCCACTGGGGATTAAAAACCCAGCTGCTATCACCTGATATACCTCAATCCCTTTTGTTTATATCTTGATTTTGAGATAGGGTCACACTAGTTTTGACTTGGCTGGCCTCAGTCTTGTGATCCTCCTGTTTCAACCACCCAACCAGCTGGAATTAGAGGCATGTGACATATATTTAGTCGACTTGACCATCTTTGGGGAATTCATAAAACTGATGCCACTCCCAATTTGAGAGCACTGTACATTGTTGGGCTAAATTTGGGTCAGCAGATAATTTATTAAGGACTTACTTAGGAAAATGTACACTTAAAGTACTGAGTCATATGTGAAAATGAATGAGAGGAAAAATATCCTGGCTATAAGAAAGGAATCTTTAGTCAAAAGAGACAAGTACAATGCAATTGTCAGGCAAACTATGCTAATTGACAGATTAGCAAAGTCAGGAAAAGTCAGCTGAAGAGATAAAGGTTTGTGTCACAAAAGAATTGAGTGGTTGAACTGCAGATAAAGATTTTGCAGGGCTGAGATAGGGAAATGTTTTCCAGAATCTAGGGAATCTCAGACAAGAATGATACTGGAGCAGAAAGCACCTCAGGAAGTAGAGTGACCAGGTCCTTCGGGAGAGCTGGAGACTCAATGTTAAAGGGCACTGAGGCTGGAAATTGGTCTCAGGCAACTTCTGGAGAGTTTCAAATACCATGTAGAGACATTTGGATACCCTGGGGAAGGCAAGAGGAAAGTGCTGAAAAATGGGGGAGAAAAATAAATATTTAACATTCAGTTTTTATGCATTTGTTAATTTCTCTTGAGTCTCCTATGAAAGAGTATAGATAGCAAAGTTCAAACCTTCTGTGGTCTATTTGAATTGCTGAGTTATAAATTAGATTCTTTTCCTAGGAAATTGTTAGATTTCTATCTCTCTGAATTTCATTGTAGCTTAAACATAAATATAAACTATATATAAATATATTATATATAATTATACTGATAGAGTATGCATCTTCGTGTTTACTAATAGTTAAAATAATAGCATGTGACAACTGTGTTGATACTGGTATTTTTTAAAAGTTATTATTGGCTACTGTACCCATAAAGAGTTCTTAGTTACAGGTCTCATCTTGACTGAGCTAATATGGAAGACAGGGGCTCCGAGATCTGAAAACTGGCTTGATCATTTGAGTGCAGCCTTGGACAGTTACCTAGCTAGAGTCTAAGTATAAA